CGCAGCTGTTTGCAGTACAAACTGCGTTGGCATGTAGACAGATATCCTCTACATACTGCCCCAGCGTACAATCCGGTTCGAAAATTGCGTCACCGCCATGTTCATTGTAGTATTCCAAGGCGAGAAGATCTGGACCAGAACACGGAATCGATGTCGTAGTGCAGACAAGGCTGAACAGAACGACGATGTTCTGGTGAGCATAAGGATCAAAAAGACCGACGCTGCCAGCAACATAAGCCTCCCACTGTCGTTTCTGTGTTTGATAATGGTGGAGCGCTCGGTCATATTCAGCATCATGGGCTGCGCGCAAAACCTCCTTGACCATTAGCGGAGCTCCTTGCGGTGCTTCGTGAACCATTTCGGGAGTAATGAGAATAAACTTTTGCGCCTTGGCCTTTTCATCTACGGACAATCCGGAGTCGGGATCTTGGTCGCGGAGACGCTTCAGGTAGGCCAGTCTGCGCTCCATCTCCCGAGCCCTCGCGAGCAAATAAGGAGGCTCAAATTTGACAAATGGCGAGGCAGACAAGATCTTTGTTTCATGGTCGTGGATGATCTCTTCGTAGTACGTCGGCATGGGAACATCATCTGGTACTTCGCTGACCTCGCTAGGAGCCAACAATGCTTCTTGCGACGAATTGCTGGATTTCTTCTCGCCAGAGTCTCGGTCAAGTTCGCTTTTCTTGTCGGTCTCGGTATCTGGCAACGACGGCATCTGCGCGAATTCGTCTCGCATCAGACATGTTTCGAGCTTGAGGTTGTAAACAACATATGCCATAAATTCAGTGATCCGTTTGACCTTGGCAAGGACATTTCCGTCTCCCCCTCGCAGGACAATCGTACAGCCGAGTTCTTTGCGGCAGCCCGACAGGTACATGTATGTCTTCTTCCGGCCATTGTACACATAAGTCTTGACGTCGAAGCTGCCACAGTCACTCGTCACAGGTGTGGTCACAAGCTTATCCATCGAAGTTATGATTCGCGTTTGAGTACAGCGAGAAACAGCTTCGAGGACCGACGATTTCACATTGTACGCAGTTGCGATATTGGCTTTGTCCAACAGTTCGAGAGCCAGCCCAGACACGTTCTTCTCAACAAGGAGCAAGTTTGGTCGGAGAGCAGCAATGCGACTAACAAGATTCTCGAGGAACTCCCGTTCTTGACGAATCACGGGCTCTAAGCTCATAAAGTGCTGTTGATGCCGTGCGTACTCCAGTGGAAACGCGATAATCAAGATTTTAGGTTGCGGGATGCTTCGAGGCATACTCTTGAGTGCGAGGTTCTTGGTGAAGACGAGACCCGAGACATATGAGGTGTCCCCGGGCCTACCACCTGAGATCTTCTTGAGCTTGATGTAGTGACGAATGTCCATATCATCGCCACCCTGCACATCGGGAACAACCTCATCAGCTGCCTTCAAGAGGATCGGTAGGAGTGCAGTTTCCCACTTTGACGCATTCGGCACCGAAGCATCTTTCAGGAGTTGTTGTAGAAGTCTTCGAACGTGGTGCAGACTAGCCTTGTTCAATTCAACCGGCGGCGCCCCTGCTCCCCTCATGGAGGAGCTTCTCGTCATTTTGAACCCACTTGGAGCAATCCCGATGGAAAAGACATGAGCGACATTTGTCGGTTCATGTGGGTTGAAGACACTGTCTTTGGATGCTCTCGGGGAGTGACGCTGATGAACACTACTCGCAACGCTCAAATTGCGACGCCGAGAAGCCCGGGGCAAATTTACGGCTCTCGAGCTACTGAGACTTCCTTCATCACCGTCACGGTAAGAGAAATTCAGATTCGTGGTGCTTCGATCTCCGAAAGCAGACCGGCCCTTTTTCATCGCGGCGAGTAGCCCGCCAAAGGTGGTTCTCTCGCTTTCACCGCCGCTTTTAGACAAGGATCCTTCGGAGACTGCAGACAATAAGTTGGGCTGTTCATCAGCGCTGGAGGCGTCATCAGAAAGATACTGTGCCAAGTCTGGATCAATGATATTATCTTTATGGAACGCGGGAAGACGCTGTTCGCGGGTAGAGTCATCTGCATGGCGTCGTTGAAATGGGGCTCTATCATCATGAAACGGTTTAAAGTTGCGAATATATTGCTGACGCGAGTGATGGCGCTTGTGGCCCATAGAATGAGGTCTTCCGCTCAAGGTAGACTTCAGCGATCTCGAGGAGGTAGGCCTAGTCAGTGGCCTGTCAGAACTAATCTCAAGAACGGCAGAGCGGCGGTTGTGCCCTTCGCCTGCACGTCTCGTTGCTGGAATGGCCATGGTAGGAGTCTTCATGACATGTTCGATGGACTGAGAGACTATAGAGGACGTGTCGTCATCCTCCGGCGGCATGCGTGAGTATATACTCGCACCAAGCTCAGAGACCCGAGGATTTATCACAATGGGGCTTTGTTCACTATCTGAAAACTCCGAGGAATCATCGTCATGACCATTGATCATAGCCTCACAGGGTTTGCAGACACGAATGGTACCAGGTTGACCGAACCTGTCACCCGGAATGAGAAGTGTACATTTCGAATCAAAGATCTGGCCACAGGTCCGACAGTGATGTTTGCGTCGGAAAGTGGAAAATGTTTCTCCACAATGGAAACAATCCTTTGCATTCTCATCTCGCATCCAAAACTCCTTGCTGAGTAGTTTGCTCCTTAGCTGAGACATGACGCCGTCGCCTCCACCGTGAGATCGTCGGCTTCGCCCATCTTGACTGGAAACTCGTTCCACGCCCGTATTCAATGGAGGTAGTATGGGCGTCCCAGAGGTAGACTCTGCTGTTGAAGCCTGAGAAGCCACATAGCCGGGTAAGCGACTGGCGCTCGATATAGAGAGCCTGTCGCCGGGTTTCTGTTTGACAGTAGCCTTCGCTGGTTCTTTTGACTGGGAGCTACCATCAGTTAGAGGCACTGAGACGTTAATGCCCGATGGCAATTTCCCTTCGGTCAGAGATCCTTCGCCGTGATTGGAGACTTGGCTGACGCTGTTTGTCCTTGATCCAGAGGCAACAGTTGATCTTTCAGGCTTGAAAGAAGCGGCTGAGTTTGACCTCAATCGTTCATGGGGCAACGATATCCCATCTGGACCAAGATCAACCGACCTCTTAGCCTTACGCAATGGGCCAGGTAAGTTGGCTTCTATATGTCCCTCCGACCTTCTGAAATAATCAGGGGGTTGACTGCCCGCTGTGGAAGATCTGCTAATTTCCGGGCCATCGTAGGCACTAGAATGCGACTTGATCTGCATAAGCGGGGAGTTAGGCAGACGTTGGCTCCAGCCTGACGAGCTTAGAGATGCAGTGTGAAAACCTTCTTCCTTGTCCGTACCAGCGGAGTCAACTGTCTGCAAACTGTTGGTAGAGAAGTTGGCTGATGCATTACCTGAGTGAGGTGGTTCTTTGACAGCGTTGACATGAATCTCCGTGACTGTAGGGTCGACGGCCAATGCACTGCCTGTGGTCTTCGGCAAGGGCGGAACGGGAGATTTCAGAGCCGGTTGTGGTAAGATGGAAGCTTTTGAGGATATACTCGTTGTCTTAGATGAAACCTTGGAGCTCTTCGCCAGTCCCGACGGGGGCGGACCGTTTTGGGCGGAGAGGTTCCCAGGCACCGGCGAGTGTAACCTTGACCCTTGAGATGAACCCGGATGGTACTGCTGCGACTCCGCGACCGAGTCCGGGGCCGATCTGGGGAACGAACGTTCTGACGGAAGCGGGCTTTTGAGGCCAGAGTCTTCGGCCAAAGTGTTGTTCGATGTTTTGCCCACCCCACCAACAATCCCACCCACAGATGTTCGGAACCTAGTATACAGTCCACTCAAACCTCCTTGCAGCTCGCCTGACAAGGTCTTCTCGTCGACGACCGAAGTCGGGGCTGGTGGACTGGTGAAGTCGTTGAAGACGGTGAGGGTATCGGACTGGTAGGCGGCGCTATGAATTTGATCGAGGGTCGCATTTAGGCTTTCGCGTTCAGCCTGCGTTGAGATAGATGCTCGAGAGCCTCGGCGACCCAGAGGAAGAAAGACCGACGATGCAGATGGACTCGACGTCCCCTGGGATCGTTGGGACGCCATCCAAGCTCCGTCACGTCTACACACACACACACGGGCGGCACAGAGAAAAGTATCTCCCGCGGGGGGAGCTTATCGGGTTGACCTCACAAGTTTAGGAGGAGTAAGGGGTGGCAAACATTGGAAGTATCTTGCTGGGGCGGAGCTGGGTTGCTCGGTGATCGGAGTCTGTGCGGTGAGGATCCATGCATGAAGAGGTTGACTCCACATTATCTGGAGATGTTTATAACGAGTGGGTTTCTCGGGAAGAGGGTCGGACAGTCAGACAGTCAGACAGTCAGACAATTCAGTTTCGCGTTCAGTCGAGGGACAAGAGGCAGACAAAAGGCAAAGTTTTGACTTTTGCTATGACAACGGGGGGGGGACAGGTGGAGAAGGCGACTCGGGAGGAAATTGGAAGATAATTCGGTGATTCATTGTCTAGACTCGGCGACAGAGAGACAGAGAGGAGGCACAAGCAGAAAAGCCGCAAGGATTGGGACGAAGCCCATGACATGTGCCGCTGCCCAATGACGTGGTTTGTGGCACCGGCACCGGGAGGGGCTGTGGCTGGTGAGTACCGTACTCACTACGTACTCCGAGCACAGTAAGATTCAACTGATAAGTGTGCGCCATATGGAAGGCGGTCAGACGCGTCAAATCGGCAAAGCTCGCGTTACACGGCGATCAAGCTTAAAGGAAAAAAAAGCATGGTTTCTAGGAGAAGGGGTGTTTGTCGTACTGCTCTCGACTTTTCAATCTCATATGAGCTTAATGGCTGCTGCTGTGGACCTTAGTGATTCGGACGGCTCAGTGACTGTCACGCTACTTGCATATCTAAAGCATTCCCGTATGCAGACACCTAATGCCAGTTCTTTTGTTTGATTTGTATCACCGCCCAGACTACTATGCGCTGCTGTAGCAGCACACTAGACGAGTATCCTCCTCCATGATGGATACCCCGACGAAATGGATAACCTCGACGATTGAACGCCTCTTGGGCTCCTATTTGAATAAATCTTCGATCAAAATCCCTTTTGAGAACGATCAGAGCAACCTCCGCTTCCGCACCGATGTCGTCAAGAGCGTTCTGGTGAACAGTGTGAGCCCAGCTTCCACTTTCTAAATTTCGCAGCACTAACAAGAAACTCTTCCGGTAGTGTACGGAAGACCGCCACTTTCACAAACTCAATGTAACCGACTCGGATGCCCAAATCGAAGCGATCTTTTCCAGAGAGGCGCTGGAGGACTATCAGAAGAGATACCCACAGCATCCGTTCAGCAAAGAGGAGGTACGGGGATACCGTGTTCAGCTGGAGGACTTTGAGCTGGTCTTAGAGTATACCACGGCCACCCCGAAGGTTCATCTCTATGTTCAACGTTTCAAGGTAGAATGGGGCTCGGCCAGGGTCAAGACCCCCCCAAAGGGGAAGACCCTTCGGAAACATCCGGTTTATAAGTTGATGCAAGATGCGTCCAGAGACGCCAAGCAATCACTGCAGCATATTATGGCGCCTGCCCCTCGACGCAATGATTCTTTCTCTTCGCAGACCTATCAACCGTTCCAGTTGCCTGCCTCGCAGAATGGCTTCATGTCCCAGGTTTATCCAGCTCCTCAGGCACAGGCTATGCAGCATCCGCCTCACCCGGACAGAAGTGCCAGGGTCTCTACTCTACTTGCAATGCTAGATCAGCGGGCTGGGATTAACATTCCATCGGATCAACTGGGTCGCGTGCCTTCCCTCCCTCCGATTCCTGATCACCAGCATGGAATTGCGGTACCTGCAGCAATGGCAAACATACCATCTGCCAGGTACTATACTGCAGAGCCTTCCAGGGTCAATATAGACAACGCGCCTTTGCCCTTTACCGTGCCGAGTGCAGCCGCGCAACCCGTCCCGCGCCCATCGAGCAACCAGTTCCTTCGGTTGGCTTCGCAGCCTCCTCTCGCCAAGGACAGCGTATCTCTGTCCAGAGTATCAAGGAACTCTGCGCCACCACATAGTGAATTTGAAGCGGAGCGAATGCCACAGCTAGCAGGTTTGTCTCAAAAAGGCACGGAGAAACAAACTAGTTCCCCACTACAGATGATCCAACAACCTCACAGGGCTGTAGTCAAGGAGAAGCAGCCGTTAGAGAAACTGGGACTTTGCCTTGAAGACCCTTGGAAGGACTTGACGCGGATTGAGGAACGGGATATTCGTATACCCAAGGACCAAAAGGATTTACTAGGGTTATATAAGCGCCGCTGGATACCACCTCTACCCGGGGAAAGCAAACCACAAGGCCACGTACCACCTCGTCTACTTGCCCAGTGGAACACTATTGTGACGCGAAGAAGCCGGGCCGCTGGCGAAAGGTCACTGGAAAAAGCAAAACCGGAAGCGCTTCCATTAGAACGGCCTTCACTTGGTCCTCCCAGTCCTACCCCTCGAGCCGATTCAGACTCAGAAGGCGAACCTTTAACGTCGCAGTGGTCAGAAAGCTCCCCTGAACAGACTATACGTCGACGTCCAGCCCTGCCTGAAGACAGTAGCCCTATAAGAGGGAGCCCGCGCAGGCTAGGGCGCAATGTACCGGTGGCAGATAGACCTAAAGTGCAAGCTGATCGTATCACCGAAGAGTCTATTCTAGAATCCGATCAGCGTGCTCTAAGCACGGTATCTGAGAAACCGGCGGGCATTGCTGGCCAGGCCAAAACATGTATACATCCTGCTAGGCGAAGCATCACAGTCCGAGCCCAAAGTCTACGAGATGACTCGGATGGCGACAGCGATGACTCCATGATGGATACCTCTGTGCCCTGTCCACTAGGGGTCGAGTTATCTCAGTCGCAGTTTTCAAGTCAGTTGGAGCGGGAGATAACCAGCTCAGGTCCGTCTCTTCCTGCGCCCGCTACACAGGATCAGGTGCAGGTCGTTGATACTCCCGAGACAAACCTTGGACGGTTCCGCCATTCTCAACCCGAACTGGGTAGCAAAGCCCCGGGAACGCAGCCCTTTAGTACCCAGTCACCCAGCGTAGACAAATCGTCGTCTCAGTCACGCATCCTGAATTCAGTTGGGAGTAGCACCAACAAAGTGTCTTCCTCTCAAAGTCTTCCACATGATCAATCTAGGGGCACTAACGCGGAAATCCGGGTAGATATTGCTGGGACACAGATGAGCAATCAAGACCTGTCAACGCAGGACCCGACACCCGTTTCTACCGCGGACATGGTTCTAGATTCAAGTGCCCCAAGACTGCGTGAAGCGAGTGAGATCATGGAAGTCGCAATGCCCTCATCTCTACCGCTCGAGACCAGTGGTCAAAAAGAAGCTAGCTCCGAAGTCCTGGCGCAGAGATCGTCAAACAGGCATTCCGTGGGAGTGATCTCGAAACGTTCTGCATCTGCGCTCGAAGACGAGGCATGTGGTCCATCCAAACGACATCGAACGCAGCCGCCTGAAGCAGCTCATGAACCAGCTTCCAGCGCATTACATCGAGAGAGCCCCCGCAATCCCGCTGATAGCTGGGAAGCTCAGCAGATTTATGGGAAGTTCTGTCGGAATTATCCAAATTATACTGGCGAGTTTCATCACTTCACCACGCTCTGCTCCAAGCTTCAGGCTGTGCGAGCCAAGGGGCACCTGCAACGGTCGTTCTTATGGGATGATTTCATTATCAAGCATCTCGAAGAGTTTCCCGGCTATATACAGCAAACCCAGATGTCAGAATCCAAGTCCATGGATTACGAGGACTATTTTGCATCTACGTTTTCCCGACCTGTTTACAAGAAGCGAAGCCTGACAGTGCAGGGTATCGCGATTGCAGCAGCACAGGATGACTCAGCCAGGGAAGACCAGGAGCCTGCTCCTGTACATGCTTCGCCATCCAGACCAGACACTTCGTTCACCGGCAGCCTTGTGAACCGCTTCACTAATCTACATGCTCACTCTTTCGAGCCAGGGAGTCAGGCCACCTTATCCGACACTGACATGGATATATCGTCTGTAATGTCGTCGCCCACTCCCCATCGCCAGCCCCAGTCTGTCGCCCAGGAAGGCGATTGGAATATGACACGCCATACAGAGCAAATGCTCACCGAGGAAGATGCGTCTTCTGACCTTGCGTCAGCAGAGCGGCTCGTAATACCTACAAGCTCGGCCAGCGCTTACGAGTCTGCCCTAGAATATGCCCCCATACACGAAGATATTACCGTCTTCGAGAAGGGGGATACCTCGGAGTCTAGTGGCCTAGAAGGTGGGGAGATAGCTGAGGCAGCGACACCAACTCCAGGCAACCAAGTTTCAGCGGTTGGAACTGCGCAGCACGAACAGCATACTGGGAATCATGACATGGATGATCGAGATACCACTCAAACACCAGCTGACCCAACTACCGTGGCTGAGTCCGAGCAGCACGCTTCGCAAGTCGAGGAAAGTTCGATGGCTGTTCGCGACGCAACTGCAACACCCGCAGAACCGATGACAGTGGCTGAATCCGAGCAGCACGCTTCGCAAGCCGAGGATAATTCGATGGTCGATCGGGACGCCACTCCAACACCAGCGGAGTCAGTCCCTGTGGTTGAGTCCGAGCAGCATGCTTCGCAAGTCGAGGATAGATCGATGGCCGATCGCGACGTCACGCCAATACTAGCGGAGCCAATTCTCGCTGTTCAGTCTCAGCATGAATCGCAAACTAAGGGTCAGACTGTAGCGGACCAAGCTGCGGAGACAACAGTGTTCGAGCATGTGGAGATCAGCCAAATAGACGAGCTTGAAGGCAACCAAGATGTCTCAATGGGCGAACCGGAAAGCCCAGATGGATCGATCATGGAAGATGCTGACAATATGGTTGGCCAAAAGTCGGAACCGGTGGCCCCAGAAGAACACCTGGAAGTGATCAGTGCAACGAACGCAGCACCTTCAGCGCTTGAGGCGCATGCCAAGGTACCTGCTGAAGACGCCCACGCCGCCGTCGATCAAGGGGTAGAAGAAATGGACACAGAAGAACACCCGGCATCAGTGATTGCACCTAAAGAAGTTACTCTGGAAGAACAGAACGAGTTGATTGTGGAAGACATCCCTGACACAGTCGGCCAGGAAGCCGAAGAAATTGACTTAGCGGAGCACCTCCCACCCGTCGCTGCAGCGGACCAAGCAGGGCCCCCCGCCGTGGGGGAACAGGATCAACCTCAGTCCCACGACACACCTGACCAAGAAAGCCAAGATGTCGATATGGCAGTAGAAAGTCAAGAGTCGTCGATTCTAATCACGCAAGATCCTGATGGCCATGGAACTGCGCCATTGGACTTAGCAGAACAGTCACAGGCTATTCTTGCAGAGGACCAGGCTAGGTCTCCCGAACCAGAACAGCATAATGGGTCGACAGGGCAAAGCTTACACAACACTATTGACAAGGAGGTCGAAAGAGCCAGTTCAGCGAAGCACCTGCTATCTCATGCAGCAGGGGAGCTAAATCACTCCCAGTCGGAACAACAAGATGCGCCAATTAATCAAGACGCTCCCACAGTTGATCACAGAAGTCGGGCCTCCAAAGAACAGGGAGAATACGACAAATCGGTCATCCAAGGCATCCAAGACTCATTTGACCGAGAAAATGGAGCAATGGACTCAGCAGGAACCCTGCATTCTATTGTTGCAGAGGATGGAGTAAGGCTCGCCCAGCCGGAAGTGCAAGAGGCGCCCTTTGCTGGAGGCACCAATGATGTGCCTGCTCAAAAGGCGGATGCGATAAATTTGGCTGAGCTAGGCGCTGTTGTTGCAGGAGATGAAACAGTATCTGCCAAGCAACCTCTGCTAGAACAACCGGAGCCTTCGGACGCTGAAACTGAGAGCGCGGACGAGGAGCCGCGCTACCCCATGGTTGCGGTCGAAGTAAGAGCCGTCGAAAATCGTTCAGTTAAGTCAGAAGCGCCCTCCGATGCTGATGTGGAGAGCGATGTTGAGCAGGTGCACTCTGTTCTTATAGGGGATGAAGCCAGCGCTGCCGAACAAGCTTTGCCAGGTCCAGCAGCACACTCGGATATTGATATGGAGAGCGATACCGAGATTCTGCCCTTTGTCCTGGCGGAGCACGCAGCCAGCTCGGCCGAAGATGCTCTAGTAGAACCGGCCGAGCACTCAGATATTGTTATGGAGAGCGAAGTGGAGCTGCTGCTCTTCGACGATAAAGAGGACCATGCTAGCTCAACTGAGCAGGCACCAGTATCTCCACAAATACATTCCGAGATCGAGACTGCGGGCCCAGCCGATCCCAACGCGACCACCGAGTCCGAGTCCGAGGACGACGAAGAAAACGATGATTCCATGGACATTGGGAACCACCACGAGACCGCCAGCATCGAACTAGGCGACGAACCGCTGTCCCCGCCGCCTACTACTCGACCGCCGGCGCAGCCCGAGACCGTATCCGAGTCGGAGAGTGACACTGATGATGATGATGAGATTAACGAGAATTGGTTCCTGTCCCTCCGCCATCTCCGTCCGACAGCACCGGTCTGGTCGGACGACCCCAACACCCCTTTCAAGCAGTGGGTTCGAGCCGACCAAGCGATTCTGAGCGAGCGTGACCGCCGCGGCGGGGCGTACCTTCCTGTCGATGCGAAAGGGGTGATTCAACGACCGGGCTATCGATAACTTTGCATTTTCGCGGGCTTATCTTCTACTTTTCATTTCGGGGTCTATCTCTTACTCTCCTTTCCCTTTCGGTGTACATCATTACGTGGGATTTATTTGTTATTCTGCTGATAAAAAGCGGGCGACATGAATTCGATGATGATCCTCTGATTCGTTGAGAGAGTTTAAGGCGGTTTAAGTTCGGATATGGATCCAGGTTTATGACTACTACATATTGTATACTATTGAAATGCTGCTGGTTCGCATCGCACCGACCAGATCCAACCGGAATGGCCCTCAAATGTCTGTAGATTTGAGCTCCAGGAGTATTCTACCGCTGTTCTAGCTGCCAGTTGGCCTTCAACTTTCCCATGAAATACCTGCTTTATAATACTTCTGGTCGGTGCAAATACAAGACCAGCGCGTTAGAGCTGTAAGGCGTATTCCTCCTGTGTCTTTGTATTCAAACCCATGAAAAGGGGAAGCACAGAATCGGATAGTGAGACTCCTCACAATTTTGACATGCCTCTCACTAAACAGGAGCGCTGCTAATCCGGCCACACATTTCTCCATCCACGCATGGTCGGACATTGTGTCAGGCTGTAGATGTCAAGTTTTAGAACTATCGCGATGGATTACTTCATATCTAATATCTTTTGTTTCAGCTTGAAATAATACTTTCGTGCGGTTCTGCAAGAATTGCTGACTGAGAATGGTATAATCCGAGAGAAAAGTGAGAAACAGAGCAAGGTCGACGGTCAAATGAGGGGATTCGTGGCTCCGCGAGTTGCTGGGCTATTAATCTAGTTATTTGAAGCGGCGGCGCCGCACAGTGGGCAAGCCGCGTGTATAGCCTCATATCACAAAGTTAGGGTAAATCCTTCTTGTCATGATTGACAGAGCTCGGTTTATCGAGTAAGCCTTTTCATGTAACTTTCGGGCATGATCAACTTACCACTGACATCCTGCATTAGTGTATGCGGCAGTATCACAAGTCTGCATCTTCTCAAGAACAGGAATTGCTGCACCCCGAAGAGTTCGATACCAAGCGACCAGTGGCGCAGTCCGCTCGCTGGAGCTCCATAGCCCTTGACTCATGGTTCTACGAAAGTGTGGCCGTTTGCTTTAGCATTGCTTGCCTGATAGCTATCGTCTGCATACTGCTGGTCTACGATCAGCAGAAAACACCGAGCCTCTCCTACGGACTGACCTTGAACGCGATCGTATCTATTCTGGCGACCGGCGCCAAATCTGCACTGCTGTTCTTCGTGGGCGCATGTATTTCTCAGCTTCGGTGGATTTCGTTCAAAAGGCGCTACAGACCACTCTCCGATGCTCAAGTCTATGATAGTGCGAGCCGTGGACCCTGGGGCTCACTGATCTTCTCAGAGATCAGGGACGCTCGTTTGCCACGCTGGGAGCCCTAGTGACGATCCTCAGCCTCGTCTTTGATCCCTTTGTGTAGCAGATCCTGACGTATCCGGTTCGAGAAGTGAGACACAATTCATCGGCCGCCGCCGTGCAACAGAGGGTGAAGCTGAGGCTGTCGGATAAGGAGAAAAGAGTCATGCTCCGACAGGCTTGGAAGGGGCAGGGCATATCGGCCACGGATAGCAGTGTCTCAAGTGCTGCCCATACTGTCGGATAGACCGGCCACTGATAACACGACGTAAGTCCTGTTAACTTTGGATGCAATGCGCTGCACCCCTCTGCCTGGTTCACCTCGCTCTGGGCCCTGCATGATGGCGAGCTGGCCGAGAATACCGAATATGCGTCCTCACGAGGCGAAGATGACGTGCGGCTTGATTAATCATATTATAATAACTAAGCTATAAAATATATTGTCAGTATATAACGTGTGGAATCAAAATACCCAAATTGTAGTTGGGCCGTGGATACTTCTTCTCCATAATCAAGGCGATGATCGATCATGGTCTGGCCGCTTGCCGGATTCCGATTCCGGATTTTGATGCGGTGCGGAAGATCCGTGCGCAAGGCATCGATAATGAAGTAAGCATAAAGTCCCAACTCTGAGCCGGAACAGATGTAAATCCGCTTCCGTAAGCTCCGTCGCCAGCTCCCCCGGGCCCTTCTCCATCTTTCCTTTTCTCCCCATCTCACCTGCATCCTCTCACTTGACAACATCCAGCCCACATAAAGGAAGTATTTGCTGCTTGCTGTTCTCGCCGCCAGGCCTGCCATTCCTGTGTTCTCATAGGACTCTCTGATTTCATTTATTGAATTCAGATTGGGCACGTTCTCGTGACCAGGCCGCAAGAAGCTTTTACTCCCTTTATGTGTCTCATTTTCGTTGTTGATTTCATGCACGTATTTCGAGTCAGGGCTGCTCACTTGCTTTCCAAAGCCTGGGTGGGAAAGGGCAAACTCGATTCTTCGAGGGTTTTCGTCTTCAAAGTGATTTATCTTGCAACGGCAGCACCATGACCGACTCATCATCGACAAATCCGCCGTGGGCCACACGTGTGAAGGCCGTCCTGGTCTCTTCATCTACTCGCGAGAATCCCTCTGTTGCTGGTTTTCGTCTTGCGTATGATAGAATTACTAACCAAGGATGCATTTCTCTCAGTATCAAGGCAAATCTATCGAATCGTCCGAGCGGCGAAGAAGATACGCTGATATTGAGAATCCCTCCCGAGTCAGTCAAGACATGTAGCTTAATCTCGGCGAGCGACGAAACACTCTGTTCGGATTATTTTGCTTCGAAGCTTCCGACAAGAGTAAAAAACGTTCGAGACGTCTCAACACTGACACTGGAACTTGTACGGGCGCCTGCGGAGGGGACGGTTCTTTGCTCGTCTGAGATGTCATCTCTACTCCCTGCGGCTCATGGAGACTGGAACTTCGCTGCTTTTGCAAGGGTTTGTGAATTCACATCTCTACGTATCCACTTTGCCGCGCGACAATTCGTGGGTGGTGAACTCGGGATCTTGAAGACCTTGGTCCGTGGCCTTGAGACAAGAAGCCTTAGGGCAGTATCTTTCGATAACTCTCGCCAAGGTCTGGTGGAGATAGTTTGGAAGGACCTGAATGTGTCGCTTGAGCGACCGCCAGATTATGAGGAGCCTGCGCCCGAGCAGGTCAAGCAAGTGGATCCACCCCCATATAATGAGGAACCCAAGTCAGCGCATGTAGGCGGGAAACGGGCCCGAGGTATTCTATCATCTTGTAGTCCTTTGTACTTTAAACCTTGTACAACAGCGTTGTTGATTGTATATAGACTACTCGTTAATGCCATCATCCGAGGATGACAGACGAAAGAGACCACTCTTTACCTCCCCGGAACCGCCCTGCTGTCCCACCGAAGTCAATACGCCGAGTACTCTCCCCCCGTCACCGGCCTCAATTCGTCCCACCGAGTTCACACGCCGTTCCTCTCCAAGCCGTACAGAGCGTGACACACTTGCACGTCTTGAACATATGCTCAGTGGTGCTTCCGCTGACCTGATCCGCAAACTATTGATTCGATTAGCATATCGATGCCTACAGGCTCCACCTGGAGACCCCGAGGATCATCTGCTGTCTGACTTCGAGAAATTTCCTTCTGCCCGGATGGAATCCATGGAACGCCGCCTCGAACGCATTGTCGAGGAGAAGATGAAGTTTTTCATCGAACCACACATCCTCGATGCGATCATCGATAGTGCTGTAAGCGAGTGCCGGGATCAGTTCCTGGATGAATGCCACCTTCACGAGACCGAGTTTCGCGACCAGGTCGAGGACGGTAACGCCGAGGTTCGTATTACAGCCAACGACTGCATGAAGGAAATGGAAGAACAAGCCCAACGGCATCTGGAGGAGATCAGAGAGCAAGCGCAGCAGCATATGCATAAAATCGAGGACCAGGGAATAGAGGCGGAGATATCCGTGGAGAACAAGGTCGCGAAATTAAAGCATGAGTTAAAGATGTCGGCGCGGTCTTTACCCGGTCGCGAGGCAAGGCTTACTAGCCAGGAAATAAGTAGCCCCAAGGGCAGACGCAGCTCTATTTAGTGCCTTGGTTAGTAGGCATGCATGCATCACTTCCAGTTAGCATTGTTGTCGTGGACTTATGTTTATAGGCTCACTGGTTTGTTGGTGAAAGGGCTAGCGGGGGCAGCATCCAATCGCAAAATCCCATCTCTTGTTTCTATCTGCCAGATTATAGGAGGGATATCCGAAACTCGAGATTGATGAATGTCTTGTAAGTCCAGGCCATGGGTACTGGCTGCTCCCTGCAGTTCCCGCCAATTATACTACTAGGTAATGGATCTTCCGGCTAGCCCTAAGTAAAACATGACGACTAAGGCCTAGGATGTTTAAAGCATACTATAAGCAAGCCTAGAGCCTAGGTGCCTACTACCTAAGTACTCTAATGAATCTCGGGTTTGCTCGCTGCGCGTTTAGAAATCAGCGTTTTAGGAGAAGTAGGCTCTGGTGTGGAAGGCATCTTTGCAACAACAAGAAATATATATATTGAATATTACGCGCTCACGGCTGTATAAATTCAATACGTAGCTTGATAGGGAAGGCGGTGCGTGGTGGAAGACACACCGCCTAAAGGATTCAAGTCCCTGCACCTTCCTACCGTACTAACAAAATCACCAGGGTCAACCGGAGTATACTAAATAGCTTTATAGCTGCCCGTTTCGGCTTCTGCGGCGAACTCAGGGGAGAGGGGGGGGGGGGCGGGTGTAATGAAATCCTGGCCTCCTCTTTTTAGCTGGGCAGCTCGCCGCCCTGGTCGCCCACGTAGTTAGTTTCTCGGTTTCTTGGAGATCGTCTGAACCTATTCCTTCTTCACGCTCCATCAGTTTCCGTTGCTAACAACACACACAAGAATGAGCCCTCCTCAGCTGAGCATGATCAAGACGCTCGCTGATCGTCACCGGGAAGGTTCTTATCATCCGTTCCCGGATCCAGAGATCTCGGTCCCGAGATGCGCAAGCGACTCCGCCAACTAAGCCAGTCAAGGGTTATCTGACGGAAAAGATCATCCTCTCGGCCCCGATCAAGCATATTCGGTCCCGAACTGCCTCCCCCATACTTCCGCACAAGCCGTCTTGCCGTTCCCTTCGGGATTTAGAATGATGGGACGAGACTAACTTCCGCGATGACGACTACTAGAGCAATCGATATGAATAATCCTATTCGGGCAATGTTGGCAGGAATGCTCCAAGGGCATTCCGCTCTCTCCCATGAGTCGCATCAACTCTTTCCCACACACGGCTACGGTGACGCTCCGACCTGACTGAACTTCTTGACGCATGCGGCAAACATCGGCCAAACACAATCTTCGGAACCAGTGTTTGCTCTTTGCTCTAGGCGCTTGCAAATAGGCAAAAGACAAACTGGACGGAGAAATTTAGAATAAGAGACCCTTTGTAGCGACCCCTAAACTTTTAGTCACGAGTTCAATGGTGGGAATGGCACCACGACTAGTAAGAGAACAGTCGATAGTTCGAGGATTAGGCTTCTCTAGGTATTTTGGGGTCACTCGGGCCGCCCGCTTTGCTTTCGGGCCCGAGATGCCGACCTTACTTGTATATAAGAACCTAGCCAGTTTACCCGTTTGCCTTTCACATGCATTTACCTACCATTGCAATTTTTTTGGTCATATATCATCCTGGCTGATACGCAAAATGTCGCTCCGAACCAAGGCTTTGAGCGCTACGCCTCCAGTCATCATAGTGGGAGCCAGTCTAGTCGGTCTTTCAGCAGCCCTATCCCTAGCCACCAGAGGCATTCCCACCATCACCCTCGAACGCCATGAGCAAATTTGTCCCCATCCACGTGCCCTTGGATTTACATCCCGAACAATGGAAATCTATCAATCCCTCGGAATTGCTCATCAAATCCCTCAAGCTCCCGCAGACTTCAAACTCCTCCGTGCCCATGTCCATACCGTTTTCGGGAAGTGGCACGAGCAAACCACATGGAACGACCCGGCCAAATCCGACAAGGACAACAGCAGTGCCTCTGAAGAAAACACGGCACCGATCGCTTCAAGACACCCAAAAAGAGAATACAGCCCCTTTCCCGGTGCTGCAATCCCGCAAGACACTCTCGAGCGCATCCTTGAATCCACGGCCATTGCACGGGGAGCCGACATTCGTCGCGGCTATACCGCCCTTTCCGCTACAGAGACGCCTTCTGGAGTCGAAGTGACCATCAGGGCGAACTCCAACGAGGAAGGCCAAGCGACGGCCACTATCCGAGGAAGCTACCTCATCGCCGCCGATGGCAGTAGGAGTCTGATTCGATCCATCCACAACATCCCTCGACACGGTCGCGGTCTGATTCAGACCATGCGAAGCGTACTTTTCCGCTCTCAGACTTTGTCGGATCTCCTCGCGACTTGTGAAGCCAAACAATTCCAAATCGAACAAGACTCCCTCAAGGCATTTTTGACGACTTATACGGACGGACGATGGGTGTTGATGTTCTACGACGACGTTGACCGGTCAGAAATCGAGCTGTTGAATGCGATTACCCAGGTCCTTGGAAGGACTGATATCCCAGTGGAGATCATCGCGACCGGACGCTGGGATTTAGCCGGGCTGGTGGCCGACAGGTTCCGTGCCGGGAAAAGAATGTTTCTTGCGGGGGATGCGGCGCATACCCTCCCACCGAATCGTGGTGGGTACGGGGCTAATACCGGGATCGGGGATGTGGACAATCTGGCATGGAAGCTTGATATGGTACTTAGGGGACAGGCTGGGGAGAGGTTGTTGGATACTTATGAGAGCGAAAGAATGCCGGTCGCGTGGTTGAGGCATGATCAAATATTCTGCCGAAAAGACTACAAGGTTCAAGTCGCGGCTGATCAGACACAATCAGGACTAAACCTGGCTGGCAAAGCTGGGAAGGAGGTCTTGAATGATCAGGCTATGGAGTTCGGGCAGGTTTATGTATCGAAGGGCATTATCGGGGGCTTGCAGGGAGAAGGAGAGGAAGCTATTATGGCTAAGCGGCCGGAAGAATGGGCTGGTCTGCCTGGCACTCGAGTGCCGCATATTTGGTTGGAGACCGAGGCCGGTGAGAAGATTGCTATCGGGGAAGTTGTGGATGGAAAGGGATGGTCGATCCTGGCTGCACAAGAGACCTGGGAGGAAGCCGTTGCGGAATACAACCAAAAGTCGCAGATCCAGTTGCAGCATGTCACTATTCGGGATCTTGATTTCTTCCGGACTGCTTTTAGTGTTGAGGAGTCTGGAGCAGTGCTGGTTCGTCCGGATGGTTTCATCGCTTGGAGAACGACAGAAAGACCTGAGCAAGCCACGCAGGCCTTGGAACAGATCTTGGCTCAGGTTAACTTCACGCGATAATCCTCTCCCCACACGAGAATGAGATATAATTAGGCTTTCTCAGCTAGCATCCACTCCTAGCGTGCCCTATCTTCTCTTTTAGCATGTTCTCTACCTGGCGTTCATGGCTAATGGGCCAAATGTTGACACTAACTTAGAACTAACTAGTATATATTATCTAAATTCCTGTGCACGTGAGCCGTGCCATTCTCCACAAATTCTGCTTCAAAGAAATGGTCAATATGAAAATCCACTCTTCACGCCAAGTTTCAAGCTCAGGCGAGATGAAATACATGTAGTAGTCATAAGACAGAAACCAGAAAAAGCGATCCTGCAGCAACCGAGACCTGACTCGGATCTAGCTCAAAAAACATAGTCATGACCCCTTAAAACCTCGCGGTAAATATAACCTACACGTTACTCGCTCCATCAGTAGCTGGTACTATTTAGACCAGAACCGAGCAAATTGAAGGAGCTCCTGCCGATCAGATTCTATACCGGGCACAAGGTTGGCAGATAAACTGCGGGCATTTTAGCAGACGGTGCTCGGCCTCGGGACACTTAATCTTCCAGATAATTCAAGCAGCGCTTGATCTTTATACCTATAGATAGCCAGAATCACTGGCTCCTACTAAATACTCAGTAGCGACGTAGTTCAACATTTTCGCCAAGCAGTAGGGTTCTGAACACGTCGCCGTGCCGCAATATCGGAAATCTAAGTGCAATCCTCGATAGAATAAGCAGGCGAACTAGGAAGCGAGCTGGTACGATTGCGCACGAGAATCAAATTACATCTTATTGCATCTGCCCCTTTCTCTGTTCTCAGAGATTAAGAAGCTTTGTATATATTCATTCAGGTCTAGATTACTACTAGAAGGGTTTACTGGCACAAGTGAAATAACAGTACTCTAGGGAGACTAAAGGCCCGATTGAAAGTAGACTTGGGATACCAGAGATACTCTAGAGAGATCCTAAGATAAGAAGTACAATATACATCGCTGTGGTAGGTTAACTATCTCGGTCCCATTCAAGTAAGTCGGAAGGCTCCAGCCCCTGGACCTCAATGTTCGTCAAATGGGGATAGCACGAGTATTAGAGACTGTACAAAAATAGACGCGTAGCTGAAAAATACACAAATTGAGGCATATTTCAACCGTGACGGGTTTCCTTCTTCTTCTTCACGAAGGATGTGAGCATTCATCGCTTACTGGGGAGTCTCCCAGTATCGCAGAAGCGAGACCCGGGACCGCGCGCCGAATCAGTATAAAGTTCCACAGTGCCAGTTCTGGGCCTCGTTGACGTCGCCGGAGCCCGAGTACTGAGCCAGCTGAGGGTACGGGCAGATCGGCCGCTGCTTTTCTACTCCATCTGCCGGGTTGTCGTTCTCGTACTTGGTGGGAATGAGATACGCGGGGGCCGTGCCGTTCTCCACCCACGCCATTATAGCCAGCACCAAGTCATGCTTAGGGTCGTTGAAGCCCGGCACGCCGAAAACATTACCCGTCAGGGAATCAGCTTGGTCACCACCGTTCATAGAAGGGGGCCGCCTGGTCGGTGGGGATATTGGTACAGTGCTCCATTCCCGGCACGAGGAAGAAGCGGTAGAAATCATCGAGATTAATGTCTTGCGGCTTCAGGGTTTCCTCGATGTGGTTGTACAGGTAGATCGAGGAGCCCGTGGCAATAGAGGGGTCGGCGTATCCGTGGTAGTGAATAAGTTTCCTGCCTTTCTGGTAAAAGGGAGCGATGTCGAAGTTATCAGCCGTCGCGTTACCGGGATTCAAGCGATCCGACAAGGCGATCAAAGACGGGTTCCAGTCCTCCCACGTCCATTCACCCCCAACTTGCAGCATATATTGGATATAAGTCACGAAGGTAGAAGAGATCGAGGGGCTGCCGACCTCGGTACCCAAGGTATAACCGGGAAAGACATAGGTGTCGTTGGCCTCAATCCACGGCGAGAACAGCTTCTTGACCGTGGTAATCTGCGCCTGGGTCAAACAGGTCGAGTTACTGGTCGCCCCACAGCTCAGAGTCTCTGGCCGGAAAACGCAGCCCAGTGGATTCTGCAGGATATTGTCAACCACACCGTCCTGTGGGTCACATTGACGTAAGACCTCTGTCGCCACAGCCGCCATCTGGCATGTTCCAGATGCCCGTGACCACGTTCCAGAGCTGCTGGTGCGTCATCCACCAGGCGGGCGCCCCCGCAATCACCCCGTCAAAGTCGTCAGGGAACATCTGCACCTCCTTGAATCCTTGCTTACCAGCTGCGGAGCAGCCGCGGTAGTAGCTATACGCGATATCGTGGTTATAGTACCCCCGAGTCACCTTCTTGCCGTTGACCACCGCGTTGTGCAGCGCACGATAACCCCAATTGGCCAATGCCGCCTCGTTGTGGTAGCCGAAACTGCCATTGTTGCCCTCATGGCCGGTATCGGTGGAGAAACTCGCGAAGCCGTACCACATGGTGTTGATGATTGCCGACCAGCCTACCGAGCCTGAAAACTCCCCGTTGCCTACCGCCATAAAGCGGCCGTTCCAGTCATCCGGCAGGACCATGCCCACGCTGTGTTGGGTGTTGTTCGGCAGGGTGAAATTGGCCTGCGCGATACAGCCCGCCACTGGGATTTCGTAAGTGCTTATGCCGGACTAGTGGTCGATCCATAGTTCAGATCAGCAGGAGGAGTGAAGTTAGCCCCTTGGGCGTAGTGTTCGGCGTAGTAGACAGTAGCATTTTTAGGCAAGAAGGCGGAGATGCTGGTCACGCTGCAGTTGCGCGCGGGGGACAAGGCGCCGGCGAGGGCGGCAGTGCCTAGAATGATCGCAGGAGACTTCATACTCCTTGAGAAGGCAGAGCTTGTCGATGGACTAGGGAAGAAATCACGCCGTCCGAAGAAAAGCAAGGTGGTCAACTTCAGGAATGAAGGTGCATTTAAGCTACCTTTATATTCGGTAACCGCTGGCCAAGGCAGCAAGCAAGCATGAGAGCTCAACGCAGGGCTACATACTGCAGGAGTACAGACTCTTGCGGGTGCTGCATGCACTTACTACACAATCCCTGATAAACAAGCGGCTTGTGTCAGCGCACTGACGCATGCCATGATGGAGGACGCGCAAGTGACGATGATTGCGCTGCGGATCACCCCGTTTTCCGGAGAATGGCAAAGTGTGGGACTAGACTGGATTGCGTTTAGTCTCCGCATCCTAACGGGAGTTTAATCAAAACAGAATTTATTCACGGCACGAAGACTGGCTTTTCCCGTGTCCCTGAAGGGTCAGAGGTTTGTCTATGGTCCGATAGTTTCATCAACGGAACGAGCCCTGCAAGGAACGCCGCATAACATTACCCGCAAGCGAGCCACAGACCCAAATGCGCCGAAGATCGGAGCGATTGGGAGTACACTAGGGTGAAGACCGACAGCTGCCGAGGTTACAAAGACACCTTCATGTTTTGACCTCTTAGCTGATTCAAAGAGCCAAATCTACGTCAGGAGACGTATCTTCTACAACGCTGTGCGCGCGAGGTAGGATTCCCATTATCTAAGTCAAAGCCCTGTGCGTGAGGCAACTAACTCTCACAACCGTTGAGAGCGGGCGGTTACTCAATAAGAATGGGCCCGAAACGGCGGCTTACAATCCAGCCCCACATCTCAGATACGCACGCTGAAACGCCCGCAGCGGATCGGCGGTCACTCACTCCACTTACAGGCAATAAGCCTGTTCATGGGGCAGATTTAGCATGAAAGAGAAAGCTTAGCCTACTTGCAAGGATGATCACCGAGATTTACAAGGTTAAGTATGATGTTTCATACGATACATACAGTAAATTCTAAGGACTTCAACGGTCCATCCAGATTTTCCCTGCGAAATGCAGCAACACGAAGCTCGATAGAGTAGAGTATTCCTTCCCACGGTACAGGGAAACAATTTCCGTCAAAATAAGTTTCCGCTACGTTGACTGTTCAAGATGTGAACCGTCAGTGGAGCTCTCTAGCTTCGGCTGACGACTACAATCAAATCACCATTTATTTGTAACCCCAACAGCACGACACTCTCAACTCGAAAAAGCTCATGGAGTCTGTAGAATCAGGGATATGTAAACTCAGTCTCCCGTCCCAGAGACTGCTGTATCTGATTCGTTTCCCATCTCTTATTGTGCGCGCAATTTCCGTTACATTCTTTTCAAAAAAAAAAAAAGTCCTGTTCAGCAGTTACATTCTTTGACACGTTGATTGTATACTTCCCGCAAATATGCCTTCTCCCCAGACCTTCACGGCTGGTCTGGTAGCTCTCGCCGGGCTCGTTACTGGGGCGCTCGGTCAAGTCAGCCTGCTGTCAAGCAGGCAATCCGTGCAGGTTGCCGAGTCCACGGGCGTCTGGCCATGGCTGCAGTATCAGACGGAGCCCTCCTTCAACCCCCCTCAGCTCTCTATCTCTTGGAATGGAGAGATCCTCGAAGAGGGAGTGATTCTCCTGGAGCCTCGCAACTTTGACGGCAGCAAAGCCGGTAAGCAGGCGGGTCCATTGATCATGACCTCCTTTGGCGACCTCGTCTGGAACGGTCCCAAGGGCAATCTCTCGGGCACGCAGGAGTACAGCAACTTCCGCATCCAGGAGCTCAATGAAACGCAATATTTGACCTACTGGCATGGAGTTCGTCAGGAAGGACTGAACGCTAGTACCGGGTACGGCAAGGTCTCATTTCTCGACTCCTCCTATGAGACGGAATTCACCGTCTGCCCTAAGCTCGGCCTTGCCACGATCGACGGCAAGGAACACGACTGTGAGATCGACTACAATGAGCAATTCGTCACCCCTTGGGGAACCCTGCTGGTAACCGCCTACAACCTGACCCAGGTTGATCTGACCTCAGTCAACGGCTCGGCCAATGGCTGGGTGCTGGACTCGCAGATCCACGAGGTTGACATTGCCACCTCGGAGTCGGTTTGGAAATGGAGCGCTTTGGACCACATCCCCCTCAACGCCTCGGGCTTGCCCCTTACCAACGGCGCCAGCACTCCCGCTGATGCTTGGGACTACGTGCACCTAGACTCTGTCTCCCCTTACGGCGACAACCTCTTGTTGAACGGCCGCCATACTTGGGAGGTGTATGCTGTGGAGCGCCCCAGCGGTGAGGTTATGTGGACTTTCAACGGTGAGACCGGTGGTGACTGGGGTATTATTCCCGAGGAGTCTTCTTTCGTAAGGATACCTTTACCCCCCCCCCCCCCGGCTTGGCCGCTGATCGATTTTTCCTCGAAGCTTGAGGCTGACCAATCTCTCCCCAGCGCTGGCAATATCACACTCGGGTTCGCGAGATAGGCGACGACTTCGTCATCTTCTCCATGTTCGTTAACCACAACTACGAAGGCGCCAACGCAACCTCTGGCACCGCTCCCACCGTCGGTCGCGAATTCCACCTCTCCCTGCCCCCAACCAAGGATATGTCCCCACTTACTCTGAACACCTTCAACGAATCCGTCAGCCTGTGGAGCGACTCCTTTGGCTCAATGGACTACGTGCCCGACGTCCAGAACACGACCACACGATTTATCAGCTACGGTCAGCTGCCCCTTCTTCGCGAGTTCAAAGTCGGCCCCGGCGCCAACGTGACCGATCTCAAGTGGGAAGCCCGCTACGGCTCCGACAATGAAGTTGTGGGCTACCGCGCCTACAAGGGAGCCTGGACTGGTCTGCCCTCGGCGGCACCCAAGCTCTCTGTCGAGGCTAACGGCACCGCCTTTGTTAGCTGGAACGGTGCCACCGCGGTCACCGCTTGGAAGGTCTACCAGGCAGCTGACCGTAACGAGACTGCTCTGACCGAGATTGGAATCGCCCAATACCGCGGCTTCGAGACCGCTATTGATACCGGAGCAACCGGCTGCTTTGTGGTCGAGCCTGTCCTGGCCCTGAACACTACTGGCGTCAACTCCACCATGGTATGCTCATCCTAGGGTGAGGGGGGGGAGATATGAGCACTTTGACCTGTTTTATCCGGCCGGATTTATGATCCGCGCGCATAGCGGACTATTACCTCTGAGGTGTCAAAGATTTTGTTGAAGTAATATGGTTCGATATCTAGATTACAGTCCCGAAGCCACCAACGCCCGGCCTGGAGACGTGAGAGAAAAGAATAGAAAGGATGGGGAAGTGTGGAAACCAAAGAATTTATAGGCTCTACTTAATACTTCGAGTCAACCCAATCCACCTCTATATTACACCCCTTGCTTGACCTAGCTTGTGCATTCGTATCAGACAGTACCCATATCCCGTCTTCTCTTGCCTTGTTATAGCCGAATGGTACCCATTTATCTGGTCACTCCTGTGGGATAAATCTTCATAGACTATCACCAAACTCGATTCTAGCGAAGAGCCCCCCAACGGTGTACACTGTTGACGCATGCTAGCCTGGGGAATATTTGGCTCCTTTTCCTGCACGAAAGCATTTCGTTCGGGAAGCAGGATCACCAGACTAGTATATATTTATTAGTGATCCTGGAAATCGACTCGGATTAGGCGAGAGATATGATTGTTAGCCATGAAAAAGTAACTTTCTTTCAATAAAAGGTTTTCTCGGTGTCAACATTGCTACATTTAGGAACCACAGCCAGAAACAAATTCCGCGAAATTGCCGAGGTACGACTGAGCAAGATCGTGAGTATAGAGGAAAGGTCGGTTGAGATGAAGAACCTGTTAGCAACTCAAACGATGAAGCTCGCTTTGGGGCTATTGAATGAAGGTTCCGGTTGGAAAGATATTAGAAAAATTAACTTAGGCCTTGAGCTTGGTCGGACCTTGGAGTTGACAACGGCATTATCACTGAAGCGAGATAAGACTTTCGTTACCGTAGGGTGTGGGATTCTGTTTGCCTGTCATTCTCCGCAAGCGCCTGCTTCCAGCTCCAGTATTTTTCTCACCCATCTGACCTGTCGGGATTTTAACAGACTCTAAACCAAAATTCTGATTCAATCCGCCACCGTGTTGGTTCATTTCAGACATGTTCGTTCTATACCATCTCCCTCTTGAGCGCTTTAGACTAGAAGCTGGGAATGAGGGAGTTTTTTTTTTTTAGAAAAAGGGAAAGAAGGTGCGCCGGGCTAGGTAATGGGATCCTTTTGTCTGTACAGAGCGGCCAAAATTCCCTTCGTCAGCTTTGGTATACAGCTTAACGAGCAAGCCGTCGAATCTATCGACATAAGGCTCAGCTTGAAGTCTATCTACACCATGAAGTCTTCTTGCACTAACTAATATAAAACCATCATTCTCACTGGTAAACTCGAGCTAGGATCCATAATCCATGCTTTCAAACATGCTATATTGCAGCAGCTGCCGCCAGTCAATTTCCGTATACTCAGGCAACCCAGTCCATATATCGCCCCTCTGTGCATCCGGAATCGTTCCAGAACCCGGATCCATGCTTTCGAGCGGTTGCCTGCACGTGCTTTGACTAGCCCCAGTGTCACCTTCATGGGCTGTGGAAGTGTTCTGCGTCCGCGGATCCTCGGTAGACTCCTTGCGAAAACGTTGGCGCAGCGGCACTACAAACTCCGGAGGTTGTGCCAGGCGTCCTTGTCGGCGCTCGGCCTCCTCATGCCCGTCCCACGCCGAGAGAAGCATATTTGAGATGGCAGAATGTAAGGGACTCTGCATATTGCTGCCGATTTCCACATGATTAAAGTATTTACGCAGCGCCTTCCATGCGCGCTCACATAGCTCGCCCGTAGTGCGTTGTCGGAGCTCACTCGCAAGGAAAAGGTAGCCGGGCATCGGGACATGCATGTACAGGTACCAAAGAAAGCCTGAAAGGGCTTTGTTTGTACAGATCTCAGTCGTGTGTTCTAACATTTGAATAGCGGCGTTGAAGACCTGACCGCGCTCCGTCCTATCCAGGTCGGTCGTGAAAGGCCCTCGAGACATGAAGTCGACCACGCGTAGTCTGCATAGTGACAGACGTGTCATTAGAAGTGTGAAGAGATGGACTGGAATGGCGGGATCGCAATTTTCGAGGTAAGTGGTTTCAATGTACGCCCAGAACCCCTCCAGATCGTGCGGGCGTGTTAGGCCAGCGGCCCGTGGGTCTCGACTATGCCGCGTACCGCTGGGTGACAGTTTCACTGTGAGTTCGGTACGTGTGAGACTGAAGGTCGTCTCTGTTGCGCCGGCATGGGCGGTTGGAAAGGCCTTAGCATGAGGACTGAAGTCAGCGTCGTTGACATTCAAGGGCAGTGGGCAGTCTGCGATTGGGGATAAAAACGTGGGATTCATCAGCCCAGTCATCTCTGCAATCCGGGTATCAAAGATGGTGATCTGCCACCACAGTCTTCTCCGCTGCTCGGTTTCAAATGGCGACAAGCCGCCAGAGGGTTCATTCCGATGCAGGCCCATACGGGTGGCTATGCGAACCGCAATTCCAGTGAGGCAGGAAAGAGATCGCGGATCCATGAAGCTTCTCAGGCTGAACTGTACGTGGGTATCGAGTTAGTTACAGCATAAGATACCAATGCACCAAATAACTCACGAGGTATAAAAGGTAGGCCTGAAGCACCATCAGCTCACTCGACCTCATAAAATCAGCATTTACCAAGGCTTGCTGAGTTGTCCGCCGGTATTTGTTCAGAAGAACAGCCTTGCTCTCATCAAACATTCTGTGAGCTTCCTCATCGGCCAGTGAGAGTATAGACATGGAATATATCCCGAACATGAGAGCTTCGAGAGGTTTCGAGATTTTGGTTGTATCAGCGCCGGCGCCAACGACTTGCGCCTGAAAAGTTGGCACATGAAGGATCTTAATAAGAGGGTCGACGTTGTTGATAAAGATTTGCCATAATTGGAATATCTTGACTGCCGGCGGATGGACGCTGGTGACGGAAGGTGGTGCACTGCTCATGACAAGAGGGAAGCCATCCGTATTATCATACATCACATCGAAGGACTTTTGAATGGTCGAGCGGCCAGACTCATTTGTGGCAGACTCTTGCATGATTCTTTCGATGTTTCGATACTAGGCAGTACGTTAGGACAGAGCTTGGATTTGAATGTAGAAAAGGGTCTGGACAGGGACAAACCTCCTGGGAGTATGTATACCGTCCCGGACTACTGAGAAGACTTCAGCCCTGTTCTAGACAAACAGTGGTTTCTCGTGGCCTGGCAGATTATAGTACCTTTCTCTGCGGCGTTGAGCGCCACTGTCTGGTAAAGCTTCATCAGGACAAGGAGACTGGTGAGTATCAATAGCACGCCGCGGAACTGCAGAAACGTCTTCGATTACTCCGACGCGATCGAACTCAATCCCATGTTGAGACAGTAAAGTTTCACATTTTCGTAGACGTTCGATAAGTTCATGGCTTTGTAGTTTCCTTGCTCTTCTTCGTGGCGGCGCCGAGGGAACCACCCTGCACTCGGTCCGAGCCTTGACACAGTTGGAGCAAGGCTTTTGGTGGTCACAACGGACTTTGCGTTGATGGCATAGCACGCACGAACGGCCTCTAGTAAGCATCATATAGGTGCCGATCGCAGAATCAAAATAGGGCGGCAAGAGAGAGCATCAGTTTCGTCCGTTTTTGTCGTGTTACGACCCCTGGCGACGTTCGTGGCATTTAACGACTTTCGGTCCCGTCGAGCAATTTTTCCGGTACCGAAATGAAACCTCGAACTCCACTCTCGGTCTCTCGGTCCCGCGCGAAGAACCAGACGTGAGGAATATGCTCATAGTACGTAACGTTTATACCAGCTTCCCGAAACATATTTAGATGCGCTTCTATCGTCTCTTACTGAAAGCTACATCACTCTAGATACCAAATAAAACAATGTGTTCTACGGCACAGAACAACATACCTGATATGGAGAAGTCAGAAGCATCTTCGACAAAGACAGCATCGATGCCTGGAGGAGCTGAAGAACAAACAGCGAACCTTTACCGGCCTCGGACCATTAAGTTCTGGCTGGTGACCCCCAGAGCTTGAGCCATTTCTCGAATTTGAGCCGTTTCACACTCGTCTATCCCATCGAGGACGACATAGTACGCCCGCTCTTTGGCCATTCTCTTGAGAGGAGGAATTGCACAATTTCAATCGTGTCCAGACACTCACACTCCTGCTCTATCGAGAGCAGATCATCGTGACTACTCCCTTCAATCATCAAATCAAGCAGCTGGCGACAGATGCTGCCGACGATGTTTCGCGCAGAATGAAATGGTTGGTTGTCTGCTTGACAGAAGAAATGCACAACAGTCTTTTATCACGTCGTGCCGAATGTAGAAATGAGACCACATTAAACATCAGAGCAGTCTTTCCCATACCCATGGTCCCAGAGCACCCAAGATTAGATGTTTCTGGACTGGCCTTCCATTCAAGAAATCCGTTGTCATGCACTAACCACTCGGCCGTCGATTGGACTCGCTGCTTTAGAATTCGTTTCCAAGGTGGAATGTGGTCGACGGGGGACAGATGCTGTCGGATTTTGATCTTCAAAGACGCCTTTTCTCGCTTTATCTGGTTGATCTGCCACTGCCTCCCCTCTTCTTGGCGGTGGGCTGAATCGCTGAAACTCTTCAGAGCAGATGACCTGTACGAGGAGTTTTCCTTGCGCTCATATTCCAGCAGCATTTTGGCCTCTTGAGCAGCCCCTTTTGAGGCAAGAGAGACCTTCAACATCACCTGCTTCCTAGATGAAGCCAGTCACTCCAAATATGGATTGCATCGGATTCGAAGGGATTCCAAATCGAGGACATGGTTGAAAGGCTACGCCTCGGCGAGACACCTCAATGACCTTGCTACATAACTCGACTATCACGGCATAGTATTCACACAATGGACGCTGAAGACCGAGATGTCCGTGGTATAACTGCCCAAACCGTTGGATGGTCGGACATGCAAGACCAATGTCCTTGATCATGTTGGTGACCTTGTCGAAGTAAGAGGCGACATTGCTAGCCACGGGTTATGGCGGTTCTAATTCCACCCCATATTAGAGCCGCCGTCTCCGGATCGGAGCTGACGAAGGTTTCAACAGCCCCCGCAAATTGCTGCGTTGCGGTCAGGAAAGTACATAGTCGGGGGGCGATGCTTCGCCTTGTCTTGCTCGCGTTCTCAGCATCAAGCTGCGCAACAAAAAACAACACACTTCCCGCTTCGGGGACTGACGTGTTGTCTTCAAACTGTTTCCTCTACTCCGTCGTTAGGACTTGCTTGACACTGGCCAATGCCTTCATCAAAGGCTCCGTTGGATTCTCAGTTTCTCGGCGTTGTTTCCCTTTTCGCGATGGTTGGAGTTGGAGGGCCATGTGCGCGATCAGGGGCAAGCAATGAATAATCAAACTGACGACCCCGGCACAGCAATTTCAGATGCGCGACTCTCTCTGGGTGGCTACTATCTGATGCGTGTACAATAGACTTGATCGAGCAAATATTCGTGGGTAAAGGTGATGGGAAGGCATCGTCGTCGGGTATTCTCACCAGGTCGCGTGGGGGCGGTGCAGTCTTAGCGCCTCCTACCACCTTCTCGTTGAGCGAGGTATTTGAGCTCCTAATACAGGCCAAAATGCCGAGTGCACACCTGTGAGCTTTGTGTGGCTGTGACTAGGTGGTTTGCAATGAAGGTAGGATTACTGGATCGTAGATCTGCATGGCACAGCTCTTCGAATTCGATAATGAGCTCGATGGTATATGAAGCTGTCCGCTCTGATGTGGCTTTTGCCAGCGCCGGCGCTGTTAACGAGCACATCCAGCCGTCCTCCTGTTCGGTGCGCAACAGTATCGACTCGACAGATATCACTTCCATTTCGATGATCTTGATACCAACGATTCCAGCTGGCGATCTGCCCTTGGCTTGGTTGCACAGCTGACGAAGACGCGGAAGCCCTTCGACTGGTAGACTTTAGCTATGGCCGCTCTGAGGCGCTCATCGCTACAGCTGGTGATCAGAACCGCTTTGAGAATTCCACCACTTTGCGCAATGATGTGTGAAGATGGTAGAATGAGTCGAGCTGAGGGCATTGCTGGACGGCGCAGGCAGTAGGAAGTGATGGACGGACTCTGAAGAGTAGAATCAGTTGATATGGGCAGAGTCAAATTGAGAGAGTGAAGCAAGCGGAGGGCTTTCCACCGGGATAGGTCCATCATGGATGGATATTCACATCAACTGAAGAGCGCAAGATGCTGGCCCATGGGGTGGTGGATGAGCACCAGGGTTAAATCGAATCTGCGGAAGTTTGAGTGCGAAGGAGCGGAGGGAGGGGGGGTTTATACTCAGTCGAATTGCGCGCCTTCCTGAATTGGCACTGCCCGCACGCCCCGCTCAGCCAGTATGGTTGTACGATGGGAAGGAGCTAACTTGTGAGAGTGAATCCTTCATTGTGATCTTCGTGACGCCTGCCGAGGGACGGATCCAGACTAGATCATAAAGGTATAGAAAGTGATCACTGCAGCAGACTGAAACGAAGCTTCTAGCGTTGAAAGACAACAGACCCAGAAAGCCAGAGATATGCGTCTACCGACTTCCACGAGACACTACGAAACAACTCATGCGGTAAGATTCAAGTTTAAATTTTCCATCTATAGGCACAAAAACAATGCCGCGGAGCAGCAGGTATCACAAGATAAAAGCAATTGAAGCAATGTACAAATCAGAATGAACGTGAGGAGATAAGAAGTCTAGAGCGTATCAACCCTCAGGAGCAGATGCAGCTTGCATTAACGTCATTAGACCAACATGAGCCCCAGTCAACAGTTGACCAAGAGGCTTGTCGGCATGTCATCATGATGGTAAGAGGTCATTATCTCCGGATTCTTGCCACCGAAACGCCGTTTTCCCAGATATCATTCGATGAACGGAAGATAGAGCTTTGCAACGCAGCTTAGACGTGACGGAAAGGCTCGTACGCGTTAGTGCGGCCGTTCTGCTGCATGGGAACGTGGCCCGGGGGAGGAGGGGGCGGGTAGGCGGTGTTGGTGTAGGCGGGCTGCTGGGGCTGGCCGTAGGGGCCGAGGGGCTCGTAGGTGTAGGGGGCCTTTTCGGCCGTGACGGCGCGGGCGGTGTTGCGGTGGTTGTAGGGGGAGCGGCCGGAGCAGCAGCAGGTGCTCAGGAGCCAGAACAGGGAGGCACCGAGCGAGAAGGCGACGGCGAGCCAGGTGGCGACATACATGTTCTTGCCCATCTGGCCCTTGACGCCATATGATTCCAGCTCGGCCTTGAAGACGCCCTTGAGGACGGCGAACAAGGCGGTTGACGTCACGGAGGCGGCTGTCGTGAAGAGGAATGCGACCTGCAGGCGGATTGGTTAGTGGTGGGAAAGGAATGGAAGGAATGCGTCAGAACATACAGCTGAGACGAGAGTGGTCACGCAGCTTCCCCAGCGACTGCAGATGGCGAAGACACCCACGACCAGTTCGACGATGGTAGCGATGAATGCGATGATGTAGGCGATGAACATCCACTTGGAGACACTCTTGTAGACCTTCAGTTCCTTCTTCACGCTGCTGGAGAGCGCATTCTCGAGACCGGACTCTTCCAAGTTCCACACCTCCAACGGGTTGAACCAGAATTCAGCTTCGGGCTTCGAGCAGTTGGTCGTCTTGTAGTCGTCGCCGTTGGTGATGTTGCCCGAGCAGTAACCCCACAGACCGACAGTGTAGAAGTCCTGGATGTTGTACTGCTCCTCGATCTCCTCCAATGCGGCCGATAGGTCGCCATCCGAGACACCGGCAAGATCGCTGATGGCCGAGGTGATTTTCGCGGTCGTCGATGAGGTTCCGTTTGTGATGTTTTGGAGGTTGATCTGGATTGGGGTTAGTCTGGCATATGTAAATGCATGCAGGCGCATGGTATACATACTCTGAAGAAGTAGAGATTATCCAAGGTGCTGGAGCTGGATTTGGTACAGCCCAGCCCCACCATGATAATACATATTAAGGAGGCGATGGTGAGGACATATGGGGTGAAGATACAGACAATGCGACCGCCTTTACCCATGGTGCCGTTGACTGTTTGAAAGTGTGATGCTGTTTTTGGTATTTGAAAAACACTTGTCCAGGGAAGGTTGAGAGTGGACAGAGTTGGGGCAGGAAAGTTGATGAAAGTAAGAGAGTGAGAAAAGGCTGGATTCAGCGGACAGAGGCTGGGCTTTAAACAAGTAAATAAACGGGTGAGCCGAAGGATCGACGGGGATGATGTAGAGTTGAGAGAGAGAGAGAGAGAGAGAGGCGCAGTCAGCAGCAAGCAAATAATGCGGATGGTTGGGAGCAAATTTACAGCCAAGTCGATCAGCGGACCAATCACGAGATGTGCCGCACCAACTACGCCACGCTTGTTTCTATTTCAATAATGCAATGTTTCCACCGCAACACGGGAAGAGTGGGTCCCTTCACTGCTTTTTTCTTTTCTTGAGGGCTTTTGACACCGCCAGACCCTCGTGGCGGAGACTCACCAGCCCTACCGCCACGTCAGTTGTGGCTGCGTTAATACGCGTCTTATGGTCAGTCCTGCTTATCGAGATGTAGCAGACCCTGCCATTGTACAAGTACGGATAGCTAGAAACGGACTGCCTGGTTTGGGGGGAGCTCGAACCAACCCCCCAAGCCCTAGCTTTTAGCACAGTCGCAACACGACACTGCCAAAGTCAAATATCACAGACGAAGGATCCGAGCCCGCCCCAGAAGGTCAAACTTATCTGATACACAGTGGATCGGCTCCAGCGATCATCATGTTGATGAGTTTATTATTCATCGACCTTTCCACCCACATTTCACCGGAAGTTGGACGAGTCAGCCCATTGCCCAAGGCCCAGGACAAGCAAAACAGGAGTTTTAGGCCTCCCCGTTATCCTCTTGGCAACATTAATCTCGATGGTCACAGATAGACATCAACATTTCAATCCGGGGAGACGTACGTACCCCTCGCTGCAGATTCTGCGTCTAAGCCTCGACACACGCACCTCGCGTCTTGGCTTCATCTGCGGCGTTCCATGGAACCCAACAGGAACATTCGCCTGACTAAGCGGGGAGGATTTCTCCTGCACAATAAGAGAGCTTCAAGGCAGCTCGGCTCCAAAATTCCGATTTATTGCAGGGAACATGAATGCTTTCAACTTTCAGATATTGACAATGATGCTATGACAGGGAAGAGTCGTCGAGACCATCAGTGGCTGATCGACAAGCCGGTTACTGCCCTCCGGCAAACTTTGGCTGTCACCGGGAAGCTTACGTTGGCTGTCTCAGGCCGATGCCCTGGTTTAATGACTTCTATTCTGGGCACCTCCCCTCAATTCGATCCATGGAACTACACCCACATACTCAAGAGTTGTCTTCACACTCAAGAGTCAAAAGAACCAGCAGAGCTCAACTTCCCACCGAGCCAAGCTAGAGCATCCTTCCAGTAAGGCTGACAGGCTATGATGTCAGTTCCTTACATAACCATTCACAGGTCAACGCCAAGAACTTCCTTGAATATGTACAGCACCTCGTCCTCTACACCACGCAAGCTCACCCCAGATACGGCTCCAGAACGTCCAGCATCCCGCTATAAGCCGGCCCGCTGGGCGGCTCCATGCTGAACATGTAATCCGCCCACCACGGGCCAGCCGCCCACCAGACCGCGCCCTTCCACACGTCCGTGTTGTTGGCCATGTACTCCAGCATCCCCGCGATGGCCGAGCGACAGACATCGTTGGCCCCGCCGGCGTACTCCCCCAGGATGCCCACCTTGCCGTTGTCCTTCAGCCACTGCGTGGCGGCCTGCAGGCGCTCCGCGCCGATCGTCTCCGACACGCAGACGCCGGACGTCCCCGAGCCGTCCGAGTCCAGGTACTGATGCATCTCGTAGACGAGCTTGTCCTGCGGGTCGGTCAGCGCCTTCATGTTGTCGTTGATATCCGCCCAGGTCCACGCCCCGGACCACGAGTTGCCCTCCGCGAAGATGTACTGGGAGGTGGCGCCGGCGGCTCGGATGCCGTCGATCGCCGCCTGGTTGAGGTCCAGCACCAGGGTTTGGTCCATGGTGTTGTATTCGTTGTCTGTGATGTCAGTACGGACCGCCGGTGTGAGGGAGGGGGTGCTTACTCGTGTCGAAGATGACCAGGTCGTTGTCCTTGAACTGCCCGGCGAGGTTCTGCCAGAAGGTCTGGAAGTCCGCGGTGCTGGAGATGATCTCGTTGTTGCTGGGGCGGTTAGCGACGTTGGATTGCGGGATGAGGAGCTCGTCACTCACTATCGTCCATAGTTGTGAGGGTCTACGATAGCATGGACGCCCGCAGCCGTGATTGAGTTCACCACCTAGCCCTATCAGCCTCGACCATCATGGAGTGCTTGCTCGAACCCACCGTCGTGAGATTGTTCAGGTATGCCTCGTCATACGACCCCGTCATCGAGTTCGGGACCAATCTTTCCATCATGAACTGCACGCGGAAGATGTTCATGCCCTTGCTGACGAGAGTCGCGATGGCGGAGGTATCCGGGAAGATGTAGTCGATACCCTGGCCCAGTCAACGGGGTGAATCTTGTCATGGGGAGTGAACGCACCCAAGTTCCCGGAATGGCGGTGCCGAACTCGGCGCCCGACTCATTGGATCCGATCCCTATCGTTATGAGTACTCATCAACTGGGAGTATCTCTGGATGGGGACAACACACATTCGAAAACAGAAGCCCGCTTCGTGTGTTCGTGGGTCGGGGCCGCCACTGCACCGCCGGCCGCGGCAGCGGCAACAAGTAGGTTAATCAGCTTCATGGTGCCTGTCGACTGTGGAATCTTGTTGCTTCCGCTCCCAACAACACAACAGCGTCCGACTTTTATACTTCCATTCCGTGCGGATTCTTCCAAATGTAGAACGGAGCAGTCGACGGAACCTCTACCGTTGCACATCCATCAGTACCGCAACCTGACACAACGATCAGCGTGCCTGCAGCTGTTCAATGGTGCTGGTAGAAACTTTGGTCCTCGACGATCATCGGTGCCATTCCCGCCTTGGCATCTGGGCATTTGGCATCTGGGCCGGGCATCTGGGTTGTGAAACAGGCACGGAGATTACCAGTGATCCTTGTTCGCGGAGGTCCGTGGCAGTTCAGGCATGGATGTGCAGGTACTTAGTAACATGAGCGCATGGCTATAGTCTAACAGACTTGACAGAGAATGCCCAACAGCAGCTATATACTCATCAACCACCCTCTCCCTTCCTCTCCCATCCCATCCTCAACAACCAAACCCCAGCAACGCAGAAATGAAACACACCTACCACCCGCCGAGAACCCCCAAATACTTCTTCATATCCTCCGCCTGCAGCAAATGATACTTCATCCCCGGATGATAATTATTCCACCACACACAACTCACCCCATCATCATTGATGCACGTCGCATCCGGGAACCCATACGCCGTCGGATCATCCAGGATCTTGGTCATGAATGACCACGCGTCGTAGAACACGGTCGTGACCTACCCCCATGCCCCAGTTAGCCAGACCCCTACCCTCACCCCTCCCCCAAAAACCCCCCCTGAAGGAACAAAAAGAAAGAAAGGAAAAAACATACCCCCCCAAACTCCCCCCGCAACCCCTGCACCATCGCCTCCAGATTCCGATTGAACGTAGCCAGATACGCCGCATGCAACGCAACGGTGGCGTTTCCCTCCTCCAAAAACAACGGACTGCGGCTGGTGGGCGGGACATTCAGGAACAAAAACTTCCGGCCGCCGGCCGCATAAATCTGGGCGACTTGCTGCTTGAGGCGCGCGATGAGGCGCGGGGTGTAGGTTGCTGCGTCGGTGGTGGCGTAGACGTTGCCGATACTGTTGTTGGTTATCAGTATATCATACTGACTATCGAAGAAATGGGAGTGGGGGTTGGAGGTTGGGGGTTGGGGGTTGGGTACTCATTAATCCCAATCCAGATCCCAAATACCGCATCGCGCGATGTCCACGGCGCACTGGCCGGCTTGTCGCTGTAAACGGCCTCAAAAAGCCGGAGCTGGGCTGCGAGGTCGCCCGGGTAGGCGGGGACGAGGGCGTTGTCAATGGTGGCGCCGCCGGCGGCGAGGTTGTAGTTGAGCACGAGGGAGGCGTTCTCCTGCGTGGTTAGGTAGCCGATGTAGTTGGGGCCGTTGGTGGTGGTGCCGATGCCTTTTTGCGTTAATTCTGGTTTGGGTGGTGGTTGTGTATAACAGGGAGGAAGATGGCTGAGCTGGGATATACAGACATACCTAAATCCGGGTTCCCCATCGGCGCCGCAGCAGACGGTTGAGTCCCGGAGGCACTGAACCCGGTTTGGGAGTAGGAGTCGCCACTAGTTGCATGGTTTCAATCTCTTAGTATGCAGTATTTCTCAACCAGACAACAACAGCAACATACAAAGTGAAGAAATAAGTCGGACTGGTCGTCCCCGCGCGAGGCGATGGCCCGGCTCGAGCCGTGGCGAGCATGGCTGCTATCCCAAGCAATAACTTCATGGTGAGATGAGCTGGCTTATATCGGAGATGACGATGAGGAACGATTATCACCCCGAATGCCCTACATGATGGGTCGCCGCTGTCTTATATGCAAAGTGCTGTGGCTTCCTCTCTTCCCCTCGGACGGGGGGGGGGGGGGGGCTGCTCGATTGCTATTATCCCGAGACTACCTTGGCAGCTTGCTGCTGCTGCACAAGTCTGAACTGCATCGCACCACAAAGGCTGGCACTCAAAAACTGAATTTAACCGGCAACCCAACCACTTGCCAGCTCAACTCCTGCAGCTTTTGTTCCTGGGTGCGGGGTTCAAGCTCTTTGATCTGCAAGGGATCCCTGCGGTGAGGATGGGCTATACCCCTTTGGCTACGGGAGGTCCGTCTGGCATGATTGCTTGGATACGGCAGTAACGGTGGATTTCATTCCGTGAAATGTATTTGCTATGTGTCTAATTTTCTATCTCAAGGTATATGTGCAATTCCCATGGTAGCTGATTCTACACCCGCAGATCCAACATCTCCATGCCCGCCCCGCACACAACCAGTTTGGCTGCACCCGATACCTCGTCGTAGATGATATCCAACGACGAGATGTCCGCCACGCAGCTGTACCGCTCCACCGCTTGGTAGATCTGGAGCGTCTCCCGTCCGTGCCGGCGGGGGTCGACGTCGATCCACCAGATCTTGACTTGGTGATCGTTGCCCGAGGACGCAACGACGAACCTGCTAACCCCATCACCGTCAACGTGAACATGCTTGAGGACGCGGACCGTCGTGACGCATGCTGCATGCGCGTCGGGAATGGTCACGGTGGATGTCGCGTCGCTGGCGCCGGAGGTGTCCAGCAGAGTCGCGGTCACGGCGTTGTCGTCGCCACCGGCGACGATCAGCGCCAACGTGGCCGACAGGTCGGCCAGATCCATGGCCTTAATGCTGTTCCAGTGGATCTGGTACCGGTTCTCGCAGGAGATCGTCTCCGGCGCAATCGATGCTTCGCGGATGGCTTGCTTGAGGAGGAGCGGCGACGCGATGGTGTAGAATCGCTCGAGAACGGAGGTCAGGTTCCACAGGGTGAAGTATCCATCCGTCGCGGCCGTGATGAGATTCAAGGTATAGCCTTTCAGAAGGAATCGAGCCTGGGTGAGACAATTGCTCATATAGGTGCCACTGGCGAGAAGAGTGAAGCAGCCCTTGTCGGTGGACGAGTAATGGAAGATCTAGATCATTAGCACAGTGCATGAGGGATAGGAGGATAGTAAGTACCTTAATGGTGGAGTTGGAGTATGTCAGGCAAAGAAGGAATCCATTCTCCGCCTCTCCCTCGTCCACTTCTAACGTATCGAAGCTCGTCACCCGCAGATCGGAATTGGGGTCACTCTTGGGACACTCTCCCGCCAGCATGGTTCCCAGACCAAATCGGGGAATCGAGCACGCCCGCCAGACGAAGAATTGCTCATAGCCTCCGCTGGTAAAGAGGAATTTGCCATCCTTCGACCAGTTCACGCTTTGGATTCCAGTATGATGCATCCGCAACAGCCGGAGGCATTTGAACGCACCCCAGCGGGGCTCTGATCGCGGGTCTTGAGGTGCGAAAATCCGCACGTTGGTGTCTTCTGAGCCAGTCGCAAACAAGGGGCCTAGACCATCCGAGTTCTGCGTGGCACACATGTCCTTTACTTCCCGGCCATGGCTTCCGGAACGCAACGTGCGACTGGCGTCAGGCTGTATCGACAGGGCAGTCAACCCGGACTGAATCCAGATGAAGGATCCCGCCCAAGCAACATCTTGGCTGGGCTGGAACGCCCAGGATCGCCGGCCTCCGTTACAGTTGTGTCTGGCGACCTCCGTCTGAGCTGACTCGTTCCAAAGCACAAAGTCCATCGGCTGGAACCCATAGAACATCAAGTCTTTGGAGACATTGTCGATATAAGCGCCTGCTATCTCACAGTTGAACGCAAGGGAGGAACAGTGGAGCGTTCTCAAGGAGACCGAGGGGTCCGGGCCTGTGGAAAAGACCAGCTCATGAATGCTATACGTTCCATTCCGACCACAGGTCATAAAATATGGCAGGTCGGATCCTCTATCCCCGTAAAGCGATGCAAATGAAGTGATGAAGCTGAGTCCTTCGCGTCCGTGTACCTTGCACGAAGGCATGACTGGCTGCAGAATTTCTGACACTCGCACGGGATACACAGCAAAGGAGCCCGTCAAGGATCCCAGCGCGAGGTACTGGTCATCATGGATCAAGGCTGCAGTCGACACACCGAAACCGTGGGGCAGGTCAAGCTTGACCCTGTCCACGCATGGATCTGCGCCGTCTGCCATCGTAGCCAAGAACAGATCGGCCTTCTCGGCTTTCGGATAAACTGCGACGAACGACAAAGTTGCAGATTTCTCGGTCGTGCTGGACTGGTAATCGAGAGCGTACAATCCCACCGGCCTTTGGCCAGCATCGACCACTTTGGTGAGTGCTCCGGTACTGTGATCATATAGTCGTATTAAGCCTCGGGCGTTACCCAGGAGAGCTATTCCTTTCTGTGGCAAGCCCGTGATGACTGAATACGAGCGCAAGTCTTCTTCAGCCGTTAGAGTCTCTTTGAGGATATGCTGTGTAGTTGAGTTCCCCGTCCCAATCCGTCCGATTTGGATCTCACCGCGCACGGTCGTGGCGACGAATGAGTCCTGCGAGACAAATCCGAACCCTTTGATTGAAGTCTCGATGCGAGGTTCAGGACTAGAGGCATCTAGCGATGTTGCGATGCGGTTACGGAGATTGGGCAAAATGACATCTCTATCGCCATGTAGTTCGATGGTAAAGCTCTTCACGGCGCCATCAGCACCACCAGTATAGACAACCGTTTCCGTGTCGGTATGACGCATCTCAAGTGCCCAGATGTGCTTGCCTGTGTGTTTGCGAATAGACATGGTCTCCACCAGTTTAAATTGAGGCTTTTCTGTCGAAGACGGGTCCCAGGTCAGGTCCCAGAGCAAGCATGTAGCATCTTCGCCACGCGACAGCAAATTAACTTTCCCAGGGCCTTGCTTGACAGGCAGGAAATGAACACCCCAGATACGGGCCAAGTGACCAAACGCACTCGCAAGAATGGACTCGGACCCGAGCCCATTGTCACCAGCTCCTGCACCGAATCCTGTGCCGCGAAGTTCGAACCCATCGGTCGAATAGGCGGGAGTGTCGTGACGGGAAGTACGCTCGCAATCGGAGATGTCCCAGATCCTGACAGTCCTGTCGTCACTACAACTAGCCAGCAGTCGTCCATCACGACCCCCGTGCA